GGTCCTGTCACTGACCGTGGTCTTGACTTCTAATTTTAGGGATGCTCAGTGTAGTTACCAAGCTTTGAGCTGCATCCAGAGAAAGGTTTCTTCTGAAGAAAAGCAGCATATTATTCCAACCTGGTAGCAGATCATCAAAAGCCTGTTTTGCACATTAACTGCTAATTCTCCTTGCAGCACGCAAAGAGAAACAGAAATCTCACAAAGGCCAATTAGGGATCCATGGGAACCTAACGATGTGCTCATTCAGGCCTGTACTTAGAGCACAAACTAATTCATGGCCATGCAGAGACACTACTCGCTGTGAATGAAAAGTTTACAGTTGCAAAACAGTCTTCAAATGCACTCTGAGATAGATTGCAAATTCCCTTCTTTATCTTCTCAGCCTATTAAAATAGAAAATCAACCAGTGAGTAATATCAGCTACATAAAGCCAACGATGATCGTGCTAGTGTCATGAGGAAGGCGTGAAACTCCTTCAGCAAGCCGCACTACCAAGATTTCCTGTGGAAAAAATGAGGAGTTAAACTAAAGCTCCCTTCAGGACATTACCCCATTTCTACCTGTAGTAAAAGTTATGTAGGGAAAGAGCAGGACAGGAGAAGCCGTGGACTCCAATCTCAGTACCTTCCTGGAAGTTGCTGTGCAGACTCAGGAAGATTAGATGCCCTGAGCTGCAATCCCAGCACATTTCTTGATTCTTTGGTGCTTTGATAAATCATTTATTAGAGCAGCCTTTTTACATAATCCCTGGGAAAAGGAATAAAAAATAAATAAATAAATAAATAAATAAAATAGATTTATCACAAAATCCTGTCCTCCTACCAACCATCTTAGACCAGGACATATATTTCTCTGATTATTAATTAACTGATGCACAGATACAGCTATGAGTTTTTTAACCTCTCCCTTTCTCTTTTGTCCTTCAAGAGCATAGATGACAATGCAGAGGTACTGTTCAAAACAGATAGCTTCTTGGGCAATGGAAATGCAAGCATCATTCTTTGCGCCCCATAGTTATGAACTCGAGCATTAAAGCTATTCAGAAGGCAAGCATGTAAGCAATTTTCCAGGTACACTCATTCTGTCCTTAGTCATACATGTTTAAATTTGGCATAGCACCAGAAGAGCAACAAAGCTGGTTAACTGTCAATAGTGCACATAACAACAACAAAAAAAAAAAAAGTCATATAATCTATCAGTAGATATTTGATCTGCAAAGAGAAAGGAATATATTGTTAGCATGGCTTGTCTATCTGCTTATCCCTTATCATTGTGAAATCTCAGCTCTCAGAATAAGCCATAGCTCTTCTTCTTTTTGGAGTCCATCCAAATAACTTCAACAATGTGAAATACAACTCCACATAAATAACAGGAAGGGGGAGAGCTGAATGCATCAACAACTTCTGTGCGTATCAAGCCCCCTGAAACTATAACAGTAAAATGAAGCTAGAGACATTAGCTGCTCTGTCCCTAGGATGTGCTTACAAGGAAAATGTGCAATTATTGGCATTTGCCCTCCTCCTTCTCTCTTCACAGCCCACCCAACACAGCCCCTGCACCCTCAGCAGCTAGGCAGTAGTGATTACTAATATTACAGCAGTGTATATCAGGACAACTAAGGAGAATAAAATAAATAATCCAAATCCAGTCCAGATCTGTGGGCAACTGATATACCAATAGCATCAAAGTACAACTCCCAGCTTCATTATCTGGTCTAAATGAAATATAGTGAGCAAATGCACTTCTGATCTCTCTTATTAGTCCCATTTGTTAAAATGCTGTATTATTTACAGCTTTGCACAGAATGAGGAAATGGCCTTAGAATTCCGTCTTAAAAGCAAAGTGTTTGTTAAAACTGTAGTGGTTTTGTGAGCTTATCTAAAGGCAGGGTTTTTGCAGGGGTCCAACTGTATCAACATCCCAGTACCAGGACTTACCACCCAATTAAAGGTCTTGTCTTGGCAAAAGTAGAGAAATAGTAGAGTTCTATCACACTTGGCAGTATTTCTGGTGGAGCTTGTATACATAAGGATTTTGATTTGGCAATTAACACCACTTTGAGGAATGACCCGTATAGGCACTAGCCAGTTAACACATTCTTAGCTTGAGATGTGAGTCCCAGCTGCAGAACAGCGGCTAAACAGTCAGTGGGATGTACAGTGTGGTTCATTTGGGCACAGCTAGCTGTGCCCTCCCCCGTCCCCTTTCCCCCACCCAAAAAAAAAAAAAAAAAAAAAAAACAGACAAATTGCATTCTACACTTCACTGGCTGTATTGGCTAGACCTCCATTGATTCTTTTAGGATACCAAGGTGATTTGCTCACAAATGGATGCTTGTGTAGACACACTCTAAATGTATGTGTTCAGCCAGTAGGAGGTACATTGCAACAGGACCAGTCACAGGAGTGGAAATCAAAGTTCACAGGCAAGGTTCTCCAACAACATGATATAAGCAATTGTGCAGCTGCAGCCCACTCAGCTTTGATATTTGGTAGCTGTGTCTGTATTAGTAAAGAAAACGTACCTGGCACTTTTCTCAAGCACTGGTGCCAGCTGGCACAGGATGGCCCACACCCAAACTATTAAATCCTGTTACTTTCCAGAATATCATGGCAACCTCCAAGCTAACTACTGAAAACAGCTTCTGTCGTGTGCTAATACTCACACTGTGTCCAGGAATTGTTTGGAGTTAGGCATAAGCCAAACTATGTCAAGGACCTTTCGAAAAATTCAGTGGTAGAGATGATTGGGGTTCAGTTTCTCTGAACTTCCCTGGCACAGTTTGAGTTTACTGTTAGAGCTGATGGGTCTTGGACCGCAGTATTAACAGTCCAGAGGTGATTTTAAAAAGAAATGTCTTTCACTGCAGCTATATTCAAGGACAAGAGGTAGCTAGACTGCAAATTTCAAGTTGAAGATCAAGTAAAGCATTTCCAATGGAGCTTCCAGAAGTATTTAAAGACTGAATCAACTCAGGTGAAATCAGGAAGTGCTTAGTTTATTCCTTTGCTGAGATCAAATCACAGGGTCTTGTTGAATGATAGATTAGTCAACTAGTGAAATGTAAACTGGGAACATTACCAGGTGCTTACTGGCTAAGAGGTGATTGCAGATGCAGATCTACTGCCATTTAATAATACTTCATCTCATTACTCATCACAACTCTCTAGTTTTCTGTTTAGAGATTGATGACTGCCGTGAGGTTTGAGCAACACTTCTGCTCACACCTTCAGAGCTGCAGTGTTGGTTCCTCCTCATCCAGGTGGCTGGCAGGATAACTGTGTGGAGAGCCAGTTACTTGGAGCCTCAGCTTCAAGAGGGGAGGATGAGGAGGGAAGCCTATTTATTTCATGGGCCTCCCTCTAAAAACCACATCTGCCACACTTAATAAACCTGTTGTCTCACATTGAGGCTGAGATCATAGGCTTTATGACCTCTCATAAACCTTTGTTATTAGCCAAAGGCAGGGAGTACAGCTTTAATGCAAGAGTGAGGCGGTGTGTTTCTGTATACGTGCGTGTTTGTGTGTGTGCATGTCTTTTCCAAATGAAAGCCACCCTCTGTCATGTGCGAGCCTTGCTTTCGAGGAGGAACTAGACCAGAGAGGAGGTGCTGCCGAATGCAGTCACGGAACAGCCCAAGGCTGTAAACCATGCCCGGTGCTGTTGTCAGGAGCAGGTGTATACCTGGCAGCAAATGCTCAGCATTATCTTTTTGAGGGGCTCTAAAGCTGTCTCTTCATTTCAGCCTGTCTGTTGAGAGACACTGGGTTCCTGGGGCTGGTTTGTGCTGCCAGAGCTTTGCAGGGGTGGGAAAACAGATGGCTTTGTCTGGACTGCAGGCTTGTCCAGACTAGACTTACCTACAGTTTTTGCTCAGAAATATTTTTGGCACACAGGGACATTTCTGGCAAAGGTAGCACAGGCAATTCTTGTACAATATGATGGCTCCCTGCCTCAGTCATAGCTCAGTCTCCTGGTCACTCTAGCTAAAGTCAGGTACAGTATGTGCGAATGAGGTCTCCTCCTGGAGCTAACATAAGGAAAAAAAAAAAAAAAAAAGAAAAAGACAAAAAAAAAAAAAAGGAAAAGCAAAAAGAAAAATATTCCTCAAAGCTGAATGAGTTAGATGCACTGCATCTAGCTTGGTTCTGAGCTATTTTGCCTCTTCTGATCCTCTTCCACTGAGACAAAGAATGGGTGGCCCATATTATCATTATTCAATCACTATGGGTGCTTCTATTGCTGGATGGAGTCCATGGCTGATTAGATGGTGTGCTGGCAAGGAATGAAACTACTTACAGAAACCATGTTAGGAAAGCACTAGTGTTCATATTTCTCAGCTGCAGCATCAACATAAAGTAAAGGTCTGCAGTAATTGCCAGTTAATAAAGCTCCTCATATTCTTAAGTGGCCAACAATCAAACTATTCGTGCCAATGAATACCATAATGGAGAGCTTATTAAATTCACATTTTGCTTATATTGCCATAATAAGGAGGTAGCAGCAGGTATATCAGGTTCCCTTCATTTTGAATATTGGAAGGCAAGGAAAGGTTATGTTGGGGAGTGAAGGAGGGTCTAGAAAGGGATGTTACCCAGTCACAGCAGGGGAAGAAAAGAACAAGACAGAGAACAAGTGCCTTGAGACCATGCACCATGTCTGCTCTAGGGCGACCCAAATCTTCCATGTGCTGGTACTGTGGCACCAGCCTTTGTATCCCCATGCTTCACATAGTCTCATGTCTGAACTGGCACTCAGACCAGGCACAGTGTCCTGGGACACCGATCTGTAACAACCCCTCCTACCCTCCGTCCCCCATTGGCAACCATCCTCTCCTCACTTTCCAGCCCACCCGCCCACCCTCCTACCTGCTCACTCCCCACCTCCTGCCACCCTCACCCCCTTCCCCATGTTCATTCTCAGTGGTCGTTGCATGTACGTGCCTTGGCTCCATTCTGCTCATTAAACCCTCTACCTTGCCTCATGTTTTGACAGGTTTTGTGAGTTTTGACAATCCTGCCAGTGCCCAAGCTGCCATCCAGGCTATGAATGGCTTCCAGATTGGCATGAAAAGGCTGAAGGTGCAGCTGAAGAGGCCAAAGGATGCTAATCGTCCCTACTGAAGGGTTATGGGAAACACTGGATACAAAGCACTAGCACAGGTAACTGCATGGGGAAGGGGGTGTCAGCTGTGGTTGTAGCCTCTCCTTTGTGCTGTAGACCCTCAAAAAGATTCAGCTCTGCAATTCTCTGGCTTCTGCCTTTTCCACTTAGGCCTCTGGCTAGAGCCACACCACACAGACACACACCCACACATAAACCAGGAACTGTTCGTGCCTCATTAGAAAGAGAGACGGAAGGATGCTTAACGAGGAGGGTTCCCTACCCCAGTAGCATCCTGCATCTCTCCAAAGTCTTCCTGGTCAATAGAGGGGAGGCAGCAGCTGTCCTGATTCCCCTTACTCGGCCAAAGACAGTGTTTCTGGTGGCTGAAGAAAATCAGCAATTAAGCGATGGGACTGGGCTGCAGTTTAATCCCAGGTGACTGGACTGGGACAGTGTCTGTCTCAATAGCTCTGTGTTGCAAATGTTTCAAAGCATTCTTCATTCTTCATGCGGTATAGTCTGTATCTGATTTCATCCCAGCATAATAACTATATGTAAATATGTCTCCGTGACAACTAAATAACACCTAATTTCTTTGTTCCCAAACCCAAGAAATTAATAGGAGGATCCATGCTGTCATCTTGTTCAGTTGCTGTTAACTACTGTGTATAGATAAAACCCAAACAAAGCCAAGGAAGCTTTGCTTGAGTGAGGACCTAGATGTATCTCAATGAGGGTCTCATTGTTAGACTCACGTGCTTTGTGTTGAAAAGGAGACAGCTTGATGCCACCAGGAGACTTTGAAAACATGTAACAGTGTCAAAAACATCAGAAGCAGCAGCTTGTTTCATTGGAATTCCAGCCTATTAGCAATAACAAAAATGGAGATGTTTCCAAAAATGGAAACATTTTCCACTGCTGACTGGCCTTTTCATTAGATAATTCTTTGAGAAATTAAATATACAAAATATATGTATTTGTTGCAGAGATGGCAAGTCTCTCTGCTTTTAAAGTCATTCCATACCAGAGATTCCCCAACAAACCCAGCGCTTAGGGTCACCCTAAGCTGCAACAAGCAGTTTGCATTCCTAAGTTAGTGACAGAGAGATGGGTTAGGTAAGCTTTCTAGGCCATTATGACCATAACATCTAAGATTCAATAATTTTAATTCAGGCCTTTTTGACACACCTAAGATTCAGGCAGAAAGTCCCCATCTTCAGCCCTCCCAAAGAACTATGAAGTGATCCAATTTTTCACTGGTATTTCTAATATCTTTGAAAATACCTTATTGTGGTCTTCAGAGCAGTATCCTTTCTATTGAGAATTAAGGAATGGGATTAAAATGTCTTTGAAAGAGGTGCTGCACTGAACAAAACATGGAGCAGACTAAGAAAACTTCCAATAAATGTATTAGGTGCATGTGCTAATTTCAAAGGGGCTTTTAGTACCTCTCTGGCAACTCAAGCTACAACTTCCATAGTACAGAATCTCCTTTATATGTGACTATACGAAGATAATTTTCTATGCATTTTCCCTCTTCACATACCTCTTTTCTTTTCCTTGCTTTTGACAAGGCCTCTTGGAAGCTTGAAACCAAAATACGCTTCCATATTAAAATGCTTTTTGCTTCATCCCACTGGCTTTTTTACTGCAGGTTTTGCTCAGAAGTGTTGGGAGAGAGCGGGAGATGCATGCATGATGCTATTTTGTTAAAGCAAGGACTGTCTTTGTTGGGTAGATTTTCAGTAACACCTGCAAAGGGATGGAGGAACACATGTATCTCCCAAGTTGTTTGGTACAAAGCAATAGCTTTATATTGTAGTGTAACTGTGAACACTGAGGATATGCTTGTCTCTTATGGTTGTGTACGAAAGTGCAGGGCTGTAGACTCCAGTGTTGTTAAAGATCCATGGGTATGAGTCTGTGGTGTTTTCCTTATCATGGATCAGCATGAAGTGCTCCAGGTCTAGTTTTTCATAACCAGGCAGACTTTGAGGTCTTAGCTTGTTTCCCCCCAAAAATCTCTCAGTAGTAGGACTAGGATTTGTAGATTTTTGTTTGTTTGTTTGTTTGTTTTTGTTGTTTGTTTGTTTGTTTTCCCAATAAATTATACAAAAAGGAATCAGATGGTAAATGGCAATAAAATTTCAAATCTCGCTCCTAGAGCATTTTTTTTTTAATTTGCTTATTCAAAGCATGAGAAAAATCTTGAGTAGTTGTCTATGTTTAGGAACTCCTTTAGCTTTCCAGGCTTCTACTTTGTTTTTAATGTTCCAGCCTAATAATTTCAGTTACCACCACACTACTTACATCCTCTGCCTCTATCAGAGGTACAGAGATTCTCTGTCAAAATGCAGTGTGTTGCAGCTCAGAAGCCCTTATTCTCTTTTAGACTCCCACCTTGATGAACCTGTTGAAGGAGCTGAAGAGGTCTTGTAGCGGGAGGGAGTTATCCAGGAAGAAAATTTTGCTTGTGGGTTTTTGTGGTTTTGGTTGGGGTTGTGTTGTTTGCTTGTTTGTTTTTGTTTTTGTTTTTCGTATCTAACAAAAGGGATTAGCCAAGTGTATGTGGCCCCTAGAGAGCACTGAAAGAGTGTATGTATCCCAAGGAAGGATCTGATTTAGCAAGGGAGGTTGTCAGATCAGACTGAAGAGGACATTTAGTGACAGGCAAAGGTAGTCAGAAGGGCTTAGATATAGATCTCTCTTTAGCTTACTTGCTTTCCAGTGCTAGGAGACATTCATACCAGCACCCTATAAGCAAACACAGAATTTTTAATCATGATGTCCCAATACAAAGCAGATTCCAGTCAGAGCACAGGGTTAACCCCTCAGTAATTAGCCCTATTTAGAGGTGGGTCAGTTGTCCTTGGCTCAGCACTGTGTTACTGTACCCCATGGCTGGTTTCATGTGCAGCCTCCAGTCAGCCACCAAATACCATTGGGAGTCTCTTGACACACCTACTCAGTAGACTGTAGCATTAATGCAACTATAAGTTTCCTAAAACCACTAGGGTAAAAGCCAGCCAAGTCCATGGGCACAGATATCTACTGCAAGACTAGAAAGAAGGTAGCTCCCTTTACTGGCAGAAACACAACAACTCATGTATGCTTTTTATCTTCTTTTACTTTGGTCACAGCTCTTCAAAGTCCTTAGTTCCAATCTGAAACATGTGAATAACCATATTGACATCAGGGCAATTACTCATGTGCTTCAAGAGTATGCTCAAGAAACTTTTTCATTGAGGATTTTCTAAGGAAAAGCTTTGTTTTAACAAACTCCTTTCCAAAAATAAGAAGCTGCCAACAAAAAACACAGGCAGCACCCAGTTTGATGTAATCCATCAGTGTTTTTTCTCAACCAAGAAAGAAAGATATGCACTCCATTTTAATTCTGCATGCACCTCTTTTTTTGTTTGTTTGTTTGTTTTTTTGGTTTTTGTTTTTTGACTTATAAATCTCCCTTTTGGGACACAAGCAGTCTAGGCCACAGTGATTTGAAGTCCTTTGTTTTCCTTGCAAGTGCTCTAAAGTTGCTGTCAAACACTGAAAGGGTCTCTGTGATGTGGCAGATAAGCCCACAAGCTGCTTCAATCAAAGCCCTGAAGAATTCAAAAAACATTTCCAAAATGGCCACTTCTATTCTCTTTTTTCTTTATAATTAAAGAGGAGGTTATAGCAGGGAAAAAAAAAAAAAAAAAAGAAAAATATAAGAGTGGGGTTGGGGGAGCAGAAAGCAAAAGAAAGAGGATCATTTGAGGCAACTCTGCCAAAATCAATATATTCTATTATAATTCCCCCCTTAGGATCAGAAAGCAAAGATTCAGAGGCACTTCATGTGCCTTTCAGATAGCAAATGCATGAAATAATGAAGAAATAAAAATACTGAAACCCACAGCTCACTTGGGTGGCCATTCCCAGGAGCTCTTAGGTACCCTGCAGTATGACTAAATTGCAGTTGCATAGAAGAACAGTGAAAATCCTGTCCATTCTCATTCTGTGGCTCTGTTTCAGTCACTGGTTGTTAGCAAATTTTCCACCTCAGATACACTGCTGTTGAAGTTTTATTTAAAGCTAAGGATGGAGAGATGTTTGGATGTGTCTAACCTGGAGCACTGACTGTCATGAAACTGAGTGATACAAAGTGAGTGTGAGTGAGACAAACTGAGTGAGGTGCAAATGAGGCAGAAGAGTTAAAAAAAAAAAAAAAGTCATCAGTAAGATTTTTTTTATAAGCTGCTCTCATAAGAAGAGCAATGTCAAATCATTAAAAGAATGCATTGTCCAGGTAATCTACTTCTCCAAAATACCAGAGGAAATAATGTAGGCCAAAGTTTGAATACAAAAGAAAAGATGTTCAGATCCTCTCTCACAGCTTTCTGAACATGTAGTGATGTGTGGCTTATTGTAGAATATGTGAGATGCTTGTTTTTGCAGCTGGCTGGAATAGATGATGTGTTGAAGTGTTGTGTTTTTTTTTGTTTGTTTTTGGTTTTGTTTTTGTTTTTTTTTTCCATAGGAAATGCCATTTTTTCATTGGAACATATATGCTATTAAACCAAACAGGAAAACTTCGCATTTTGAATTTCCTGTTTTTTGATAAGAGAAAGAACAAAACCAAAAAACAAACAAACAAACAACAACAAAAAAAACTCATTTATCTCATTTTAAAGTAATCAGATATTATCAGCCAAAAATCAAACAAACAAGCAAAATTCCAATAATTCTACTCATGACAAAAAGTACTGTAAAACGTAAATGGAACATTTATGGCTTTCTCCTTTTGTCATTTCATATTGCTTCGATGCAATGTCGAATGGAAGTGTACTTTTTACTGAATTTTGGGTTGCTTATCCCTCTCAGCTAGGCTTGTATAACCTCCAGTGAGAGGCTGTTCTGCAGCTGCATTGATCTCACTGTTGCCTGCTAGGCTCTTCATCTTGAGATTCAGACTAAATATCTTTTATCAGGACCTAATCCCATTTCTTGTAGTTATGCCTCCTACAATCATGCTAACCAATTCCTCTTCCTCCTGCACAGATTATTGTCATTTCCC